ATTGAGGAGGGCACATTCTGCATGGAGCACTGGGTGTTATGCACAAACAATGAATCATGGAACACTACATCTAAAACTAATAATGTAATGTATGGGGATAATATAAGAATAAAAAAATTAAGAAAAAAGAAAAAAAAAAGAATTATTCATGTTTAAATATATGCACCAGAATGCTATGCCCCTTGTCAAATAGGCTTCAAATCAGCAAAAATGATATTATTTTACTTACATAAGTTTTTTAGTCCCTCTGTTAACATTTTGGAATACATCATTTTAACGCACATCTGCAAATTTGTAAAGCAATCACTTGGTGTGAGACAATGAATGCTTCAAAAGGCAACAAAAGAACATTTACAATTTTCCAACATGAGTTTCCCTCATGTTTGGATAAGGATGCAAATTCAACTCTGTATAATATATTACAGTGAATTGTAAAGATTAAATGCACTCAAGGATTGTGTTCTCTCCTTCCTCCACCCTACCCTACACACAGCTGCCCGACTAATCCTCCAAAAACACCAATTTTCATATGCTGCTTTTCAAAACTAGCTTCCTGGCTTCCTGTTGCCTGAAAAAATAGTCTCAAATGCTTTCGTCTGGCATTCAAGGCTCTCTATGATGTGCACCCTGGCAAACATGTCGCTCTGCTCATTTCTTCCACCATGCACAAGTGGGCTAGTTATTTAGAGACCCATCTCCCCACTGACCCAGCAAAGGTCTCAAGCGTCTCCTAGACTCACGGGCTCACCCAGTGATGTTCTGAAAGGCCATTACTGGGTCACATGCCAACTGCTGGAGTCAGGAGTCAGGGTGAAGTTGCCACCACCTAACCACATGGACTGAAAGTGGGAATGGTGATTCTCCGGAAGAAAACTGGGGCATTATTATGAGAAGTCAGACAAAACCGCCAAGGTCCCCTACTCTGGACACAACTGAGACAAGCGAATGTATTAACTCTCATTTAGACCTCTTCCACCACCTGCAAATCCACAAGACTGTATCAAGCAAATGCAACTGAGGGAGGCAGTGTTTCATTCTGGAACAAAAGGAGCCTCCGATAGACCCCAGTCCATGCACTATCATTACAGCTCTAGCCACTTTTATATAGATCAGACCCTGTCCGGGAGCCCAGTTTGCTGGGTTCATTTATATACAATGCACATACCCTCAAGAATATAACATTTTATCTCAGATTGCATAAATTTAAATAACAATGAAAATCGTGTAAAATGAACAAAAACAACATATTCTGTGATGAATCAAATGAAATACATTTTGAGCTGCTGTTTTCCCCATTTAAAGATAACATTTTTGATAACTGTCATTATCTGTGAAAAGACACAAGACCAACAGTTTTTTTGTGGTGTTGTGTTTTTTTTTTTTTCCACTTAAGGCTGTAGCCATATTGTCATGAATAAAGATCTCAAATTTGCCTGGAAGCTTTCCTGGCAAATTGTCATTTTGAGGGTAGACACCACCCAGCCAAATGGCTTCGTACATCATCAGTGCCTTTCTTCCACACACACTCTCTTCCTGGTTTAAACATTCATTACCCTGGTTCTATAGTGAAACAGTTTTTGCAAATCTCTCCTGTCCCTAAACTCCTAAAAGTTGGGGACTTCTCACTTTGGTTTCCCCAGGGCTTGACATTTTGTTTGGTGCTTGGGGGGCAATGGGCCATTCAAAAAGTATGTTAATGCTATCACTCAATGGTTTGATCCATGCTATGCACCAACGCTGTAATAAATATCGGTTCATTTCTTGTAACAAAAGCAGTAGGAACTTCTCCCAACGGATGAAATTCCAAGGACAGAATGAAGGTGGGAAGGGAGCTGGTATATTTGTACCTACTATGTGAGAGACACTGGTTTAGGTATTTTTATATACACATTATTCCACTGAACTGTCACAATCCTGCAAATTCTTACACACTTGGGTTTATATGTAGCAAGTTTAGCAAGCAACCCAAACTCACAGTGACAGGCCCATGAGTCAAATCCAGCATGCTTGACTCCATGATTACCAAGCCCACTATCTCCATTTATCATGATTCTGAGATTCATGAGTATGTAGGTGCTATCAGGAAATGTCAAAAATGCCCACTTTAGGGACGCCTGGGTGGCTCAGTCGGTTAATCGTCTACCTTCGGGTCAGGTCATGATTCCAGGGTCTTGGGATGGAGTCCTGCATCGGGCTCCCTGCTCAGTGGGGAGTCTGCTTCCCACTCTGCCTGCCACTCCCCCTGCTTGTGCTCTCTGTGTCTGACAAATGAATAAATAAAATCTTTAAAAAAAAAACTTCTAAAAAATGCCCATTTTAAAGAGTGTTTTAAAACACTATTTAGACAGCAATAGAAGCAAAAGCAGAATGACATAATCTAACAGGAAATAGTTTGTATGGGAACCCTTTGGGAACTCTGGTGGATGAGTGTGTTTAAATTAGTTTTTCGTAAACTGCAAAAAAAAAAAGCTCCCATTTGTAGTGTACACTTTATAGTTCACAAAGCACGTGGCAACAATAAAGATAATGATGGGTTACGGTTGCAATTCATAGAAAAGGAGGTACAAGGAAAACTGAATGAAAGGAAATAATAACCTAGGTCCATAGTCAATCTTCCTTGTAAAAAAATTAACCCGAAAGTGCATTTCTGCCACCTCTCTTCTGTTTGATATAATAAAGAATGGCCATGATACATGAATTATAGTTCAGGGTTTTGAAAAGCAAAACAGCTTTATAGCAACGCTTGAGCTTCTGTTGCTAACAAGATAGCTCAATTTGATATGCGGTTCCTGACAACCAACTTCAGAAATAATTCCATCGTCATGAGAAGTCAGAAAGAACCACAAACCAAACCTCAGAATAGATTCAAAGAGAAAATACTCTTAAAAAAATTTCCCTTCTTATCAGAAGCAGACCAAAGGGAAGTTTATCCTCCCACTAACAAATTCCCCAGAAAGCTTCATTTAAGGTTGTACGCTCTTCAGACATCCAGCAGGACCCTCTTCTTTGAGCCTGGTATTTCTTCCATGGCATATTCCAGAGAATAAGACATAAACTAGAGAGCGCTACGGGTCTCAGGACTACAAAACAGATGATGAAAGGCACAAAGCAAGCCTCTGGTGACCAAGAGGGTATGTAGACATTTGCTGCTTTTCGGCATTTTTCAAAGCTGAGTATTTAGCTGCAGGCCGCTCCTTTACGATAAATTGCTGCTACCGTATACTAAAAGCTATTATCTCTTGCAAACCATTTCCCATCTTTCCATTCTCGTGTGCCAAGGCAGACATGAATTATTTAAAATCCTTAAGACACTGCTATTCAATTTAAATTGCCTGTAACCTTTGTGTAATAGATTTATGATTGATAGGTATAGTTAAAACAGAACTATTTTAAATATATTCTTGGTAAACGATCCCAATCTGTGCTCACTTAAGTAACGGGTGCATAATCCCTTTTCAATTAAACCGTAGTGCTTTGCTTTTAAGGACCAGTTCCGCATTTCTGAGAGAACCCCGAGCTACTTTTCTAGAATGGCCGTATGGGTGTGTGTCTTTTCACTCCCTTTGTGCAGCACCTACCCTGGAGGTCATGTAATAACCAACGACAAAGAAAAATCCAGATCGAAGTTATTCGGGTGTGCTACCCTGCCTGAAGACGAGGAGACGGTTTAAATAGCAGATCGCGGGGAGGCATCCCAGCCCAGGCCTGAGTTGGGAAGGCTGCGTCCCGGCCTCGGGCGCGATCAGGGAGCCCCCCAAAGCGACCCGAGACTGCAGCCGGGTTTTAGGGCTAATCCTTTCCTCGCAGCCAGTCCGGACAGCACTCGCGTGGGCCGCGCGCCGACACCAGCTCGCGGAGCCTGGGCGCGGGGCTGGAAGGACGCCCGCTGCCGGCGACGCTCGGGGCCCCCGGGGGCCCCCCTCCCCGCGCCCAGGCCCGCGCCTCCGGAGGGAGGGAGGGAGGAGGAGGGAGGGACGCGGCGGCGCGGAGAAGGGGCTTTGCTAATTGCCGAAGCAGGAAGTGAGCACGAGGAGGACGCGGCGGAGAGTCTGGGAGGAGGTGGAGGTGCTGGAGGAGGAGGGGCGCGTCGCAACTGCAGGAGCCGTCCGAGCAGCCCTCCCTGGCCTCCCGCACTCCAGCCCCGACCCCGAGGCCGCGCAGCCCCGCTCGGGCGCCCGTCTGCCCCACCCCGCCCCATGGCTTCTCCGGACGACCCTCTGCGCGCAGGTAAAGTGACACCGCGCCGCGCCCTCCCTGGGAGCGGGAACCGCGGGCCGCGAGCTGGCGGGGC